AGCACATGACATCACAGAATTTTTCTTAACCGAAAACAGAATTTGGTCTTAACCAAAACAGTAAATCATCGGCCCTGGATAGAATGAGTCTTTGTCTAAGTCTAACTCTGGACCGAGTTTAAATTAAGGTTCGACTCCTGGAACCGAGTCGAACCGAACCGAACTTTTCACATCCCTACTACTGCCCACTTTGGCACGTCCGTAATCTGTGACAGGTTAAGCCACTAATTTCAATCACGTAAGACTTGACTGTTATAAACTATTAACAAAAAATACCTAAAGTTAGAATTTAAAAACTTATAAATTCAAAAGTTGCTTTTTGATATTAACTAAACAAATATTTATATAAAAAACAATAAAAACCCTTTATTTTAAAAATAAAATAACGAATACTACAGTACATAAATATTCCTCTAGTATATTATAATGAAGATAACTCAAAAGAGCTGAATTCTCATTTCTTCCATATTATTTATTTATGAACTCATGTTTTTGCAGCACTTTTGATTGAACATAAAGAAAATATTCGTAAGATTTTATTTTTGTTGCGTTATACTGATCTTTGAGTTTAATCTAACACGATCCTAAAATGATGTGATGTCGGAAATATCGTTCTCTTCCATTTCTTAGTTCCGATTTATAAGATTTTTTTTTAAAATATATCCGAATTTGTATGACCTGTGAAGCATTTGAAGGACCTTTACATTAAAACAAATTTTTTTTTTTATAAACTTTATTAAAAAGTTTGTTCTCTTTTAAGTCTTTTTTATATATTCAACTTCGTAATAATAAGCCTTTTCAAATTACATGATTTAAGGCATAGTCGGACGGTAATTGAAATCAGTGGCTTAACCCGTCACAGATTACGGACGTGCCTCACTGCCGACAAATCACCAAAAGTTCACTTAGCCGACATCAAATAAGGTTATTTTATTAGTTGAAGGTATATATTTTTAATTGTCACTTGGCGTGATGTCGGCTAAGTGAGCTGTCCCTATATATAGCGCAAACAGAATTTCATCGTATAAACAATTATCCCAAATCGAAGAATAAACAAGACAATTATACTCTATAAGTTCTTCAATTACTGTCGATTTGAAAAATTGAATATTCTTTTTGACTGATTTGAAAGTCAAAAGCGACCATTATGGGCCAAAAGAATTTTGGATAAGCATTGAAAGAATCATTGAGCTTCCATAAAATTTTTCGCTTCAAAATATTGCTCAGTACAATAATATCTGCATACCATGACCAATTATTTTAGCTCACTCACTGAGCTTAAAGGTATGCTTCCCAAGAATATTTTCTCGCGTGAACAGAAAACAAATTTACGGCTCTGTAAGTATATAATATATTATATAATTATATATAATGTAGATCATTTTAAATTTGATCGAATATATCTCAGCACCTACCTGACCAAAATTCGTTTCAACTTTTTTTTTTTTTGAATTCTAAAGCTTTTTACAATTAATATAAAAAAAAGTTGATCGAATTTGGTTAGATGGGTGCCGAGATATCTTCGATCAAAGTTTGAAAACAATTTTTTGCTGCAGCTTATTTGATAAACGTTTAGAATTTTACAAAACCTTTGATCGAAGATATCTTGGCACCCACCTGACCAAATTCGTTCAACTTTTTTTTCTTTGAATTCTATGGCCTTTTACAATTAAAAAAAAAAAGTTTATCGAATTGGTCAGGTGGGTGTCAAGATATCTTCGATCAAAGTTTGAAAAGAATTTTATATTTGATAGACGCTTAGAATTTTACAAAACTTTTGATCGAAGATATCTCGGCATCCACCTGACCAAATTCGTTCAACTTTTTTTCTTTGAATTCTACAGCTTTCTATAATTAAAATCAAAAAGGTTGATCGAATTTGGTCAGGGGTGCCAAGATATATTCGATCAAAGTTAAAAATTTTTAAAAAAATTAAAATGATCTACTTGAGTGTGGTATTATCAAAAAAGAGTGTGAAAATATCAATTTCCTATATTTATTTGTTTATTTTTATTTTGTTTTATAACTTTAGAAATATTTTTATAGCTTCTACAAATTTCAAACAAAATTTAAACTGGACAATCGGACTTCGTCAAGTAGTGCATATAATAAAGAAAACTCACCTCCAAAAAGCTCTTCCCAGAAAAACTCTTTCCAAAAAAACTCTTCTCAGAAAAACTCTCCCCAGTTAGGCTGCTTTTTTCAGGAAAGTTCCTTCTACAATGATCTCCACCATAAAGAATTATTGACCTATATTGCAAAGGCAACCATTTAATCAAACAATGTCCAAAATTCAAAGCTACTTGAAGGGAAACTGTATAAAATGTTGGAAATCAGGCTATAACGCAAAAGATTGCCTTCAGCTATATATTGTAGAGATATTAATACAACTCTATATGAAGCTGAATTTGAGCAAAACAAAAAAACTATCACGCCATACTCACTATAATAAAAAACATATGCTTGAAAAATAACAAAATTCAATCTTACTATGTAGTAAATAATAATATGCTTGTATCTACTACACCAATTATAATATAGTATTAATAATTAATAATATTATTTTTAATTTAAACCAGGACTTGGGTGTCCGTTTAGGCTACAAAAAAAATATACAATCTAGTGCAAATTTATTTTTTATATAGTTATTTGCTTTAATACTTAAGTAAATCATAATGCAGTACTTAAGCACTTTGTTTCTGCATTTGAAAATTGATGAAATTGTATTAAATACAATATCTAATTTTATTTTTATTAATATTAGTTATATTAATACTATACTTAACAAACAATTTGGGGGTTGTGTATATATAATAAAATTTATTATATTAAAAATAAATAAAAATATATTTCTCTTTCTCCATCAGATTATATATCATCAAGAGAGTATTAAAATTTGTAAAGAAATTTTAATCAAGATTTTTTAATTAACACACTAATTCAAGAAGCAAGAGTGGCTAATAATACTGAGTTATCTGATGTTTTATTTTTTTTTTTTTAGTAGATGAAGAAATAATTAGGATAGAAAAGTATAATAACAAGTTTCATTCTAATAATACAACGAATGAATATTTATAGGTTGATTTGGTTGCTGGTAAAGTTTCATGAGGAACATTTTTAATTAGGCTGCAGGTGAAAAAAATGGTTTCGCTTCGATTGTTTACATTACACTCGATCTTGAATTTGATTGGCCAAAATCACAAGATGGAACTAGTAGAGTTTTTTGTTTCAACAACGGTTACAAGTCTGTTATCAAAGCTACACACATTACACGCAGGGACGGTGATTTTCTGTGGTGATTAAGACTAAATTCTGTATGTGGTTAAGACAAATTCTGTGATTTAATGTGATAAATTTTTTAACCAATTTCTCTGTGTTTTGATGCGTTTATTTAATTTTTTTTTTTAAACATTTTTTAGAATTCTGTGATATTCTAATCTGTGAATCACCGTCCCTGATTACACGTGCTTAATCTTCTGCTCAAATTTTAAAACGTGATTCCGGCCAACAAATTTTAGTTCTCATGTTACACTGCAGTTGATAACGTGTATAGTATACTGTGTAACAGACAATAAAATACTATATATATAATTATTTCAGACCGATTTTCTCGTTTAACAAAGTTGCCTGTCGATTCACATATACAATATCATTTAGACGGTGTGTTGTTGCATTTTTAACCAGGTACATCACAAAATTAATCTTTGAATTAAATATTTTTGCTATAGTTTCATATTATATACTTGTCATAGCTGACAACCTTCATTCCTTTTTTTCAACTAACCAGTATATATCGATATAAATATTACCCAATGAGTCAGATTCGAATGTGCTTCGGTGCTGCGCAAAAAATTATGTTATCAGACGGTAGTTCTAAACAAGCCGAAAACATTTCTATCGGAGACAGCGTAATAGGTGACGATGGAGAATCACGAAAAGTTGTTTCACTTACTTCTGGTCGTAGCATGATGTACCAAGTTACTTACGATTATACAAATTCGTTAGATAATTTATGGGAAGATTATGGATTTATTTGCAATAGTGCTCACCTTCTTGTAATTAAATCACAATATTATCCACGTACCGAACTGAACTCAACACAAAATGCATTTTGTATTCATTATATGGAATTCGATGTTTTTGATGAGGAACTCGGATTTAACATTCCGAAATTAAATGTTGTTAATTTCCCATGGAACAGAAATGTATATAGATCTCGTGCTATTGCAAAGACTGCTGCGCGTGCATATTATAGTAAACTGTTAGGAAAAGGATGTAAGGGACGAATTTGTCTTCATCCTGCTGCTAGGCGTTGGGTTATCAGACTTACCCGTAGATCAACTAAATTCAAGGAAATTAATTTTAACACATTGTGTTTTTATTGGGGAGGACGTCCAGATAGAGAGCAAATAGTTACACGAGAGGAAGCCGAAAAAAATGCTTCAAAATTCGCTACAGAACAATTAAAAAAAAATAACAATTACATTTGGGAAATTTCCGTTATAGATTTTCTTCGTTTTAAGGAAAAGTATCCCGATATTGCACAATATTTTGGAATGTACAGGAGTTACGTGCCCAGGTTTCCTGATCAAAGTGCTCTTGATATAAAAGTTCTAATTCAAGAAGCTTACAAAGAATTTAGTGTTAAGGATAACTACATCACTGAAAATGAATTTGGTTGGTTATTATCTTTTTGGCTTGGAGATGGTTTGGAAGATTATCCAGCGTTTTATTTTGATGTGAAAAAATATCCTAACATAGTAGCCAAATTAAAAACAATTAGTGAAAAATTACGATTACAACTTGTGATCACACATGATAGTAACCAAGTTGGTGAATATTTGAATATATTGCTTTCTTCGGCGTATAAAAGTACTTTTAGTCCAACACAATATTGTGATGAATTTGAAAACATTATTGTGGACAAAGATGTTTGGACTTTGGAATCTAACAAAAGTGATAGAAATATTTTCAGCATTCTTCTAAAACATTTGGGTGTATTTAAGAATAAGAAAATGTTTGATGACGAATTAATTGGAAAATTAACAAATCAATCTGAGGAGTTCCGTCTAAGTCTCATGGCTGGATTCATTGATTCTGATGGTTACATGACTCGTAATAAGCAAAATTACTGTTATTACGTGTTTGTACAACAAGTTAATATTCATGCACATATTGCTAAGCTTTGTCGTCATGTTGCACGTTCATTAGGAATAAGTGCTATTGGATATTCTTACTACAATAAGCAATTTCCCAATAATGATGAAATTACAAATTTAGTTCGAATTATAATTAGTGGATCGAAAATATTGGAAATCCCAGTTAATGTTAGCTATAAATGTATTCCTGAAGATTACTTGTTTGTGGCATTTGATGATCCAAACGGCTTAATAAAATTTAAAATTGAACACCTTAATGAGGACGAATATTATGGCTTTGAGATTACTGGAAATAATAAACGAATATTGTTGAATGATTTTATAGTCTCTCATAATTAGGGATGTAATCAGCTTGATTGGCTTGGCTTGGCTCATGAAGTTATAGCGAAGCTTAAGCTATAGTTTTAGCAGTTATAATCTAAGCTATAGCTATTAATATGGTTTAACTTATAGCCAAGACGTAGTGTATGCCAGATAAATCTTAGCTTAAGCTATAGTTAAACCACGGTTTAAGCTGTTGAACCATGGCTTAAGTTATAGTTTCCATAGTTTAAGTTACAATTTAAGCTATGGTTTAAGCTAGTTAATTATGACTTAAGTTAGCTTAAATTGTAGCTTAAACTGTAAACTAAATTTATAAGATCTTCTTCACTTATTAACGTGAATAAACATGAATAAAAAAAATGGTTTAATGACCGATTATAAATGATTTATACTAAAGTAAATAAAATAAGTATAGTATAAGTTATTTAATAAAAAATTTATATATACGCTTACTAATTACCAACCATTCTAATTTAACTTTGCCTTTTTCAGACTATCTGTCCACTTGATTTAAAATGCTTAATTTCTAAATAATAATAATAGCTAATTTGATATATACGCCATAAGAATTATTGTATCTGCAGATTTCAATAATAATTCTTATACAGTAATACAAATTCATAGCTTAGTAATAATTATGGCACAATAAGATTATAAAGTTTTTGCCATAATCATGGCTAGTTGTGTGTTATAAAATTTATTAGGACGATTCTACTTCATCACTTGTACTAGTTGAAACAGGTAATTTAGATAAGAATTTCATAATTTTGTATAAATGTTTACTAACTCAAGTAACTTTAACAATATTGAAAAAATAGTTTAGATATTAACTAATTAAAATAAATCAGGTAAATTTAGTGAAAGAGATAGCAATAAGACAAACATGAGTTTGAATAGCTTAGTTTAAATATATTTATTAATGATAATTATCTTTGTTGTACACCAAAATTAAATTTTTGTGAATTCTAAATCAACTTGAGTAGTTTAAAATGGTATTAATTCAACTAATTAAGTTTACATGATGTGCATTATTTTTTAATTTATGTTGAATATCAATTTACATCAGGATCTTTTAAAATAATTGAGATACACTAATATATATTTCATTCAATCTGCCTGTCTTCAATATTTTACACCAACTAGCTATTTCTTTGAGATATAATATAAATTGTTTTGTGTACAAATTGAAGCACTTTATGGTATGCATTTTTCAAGTTTCACCATCTAAAATACAACTTAGGCTATTCTTAATGCAGACAATGAGACTAAATATATAATAATATGTAATTATATTTACTAATAGCATTAAAATATTAATAAATCATAAATTTAATGCTAAGTAGATGAAAAATACAAATTCATTTTAATAATATATAAATATTTATAAAATACTGGGTATAAAAAAATCAAATAAATTGAATATTTAAAATATTAAGAACTTTTTTAATTCAATTTGATCTAATTTACCTTTTAAAAATAATATTGTTAATTCAAAATTTTGACAATTCATAAAAGCTTTTTAAGCTGTACTAAAGCTATCTTAAATCATATTTAAAGATATAGCTTGGGTTATAGCTTAAACTGTTAGTTTAGCTTAGCTTTGTTAAGCTTGGCTTAAATTTGTAGTCAAAGCTAGCTTTTTGTAAAGCTAATAACATATTTACTTATAATTATAAATACTGTATTTGGAATCACATTAAAAATAATCATAAAAGTAAAGATAAAATTTAGCCAAAATTAAGGTTAGATTTTATTTAAAAAATATTTACCAGTTATAGTTTAAAAGAATATACAGTATATCTATTGTTTGTTTTTTTACTTCTTTGTACTATATTTTTATAAAATACATACTAATTATTTTTATCAATAAATTTAGAAAAATGTTAAAAAGATTTGAAACTTTAATATTATAAAATCTACTAATTAAATATACAAATATACAAACTATATTATTTAAATGTATATTTTTTTTAAACTTCACATAGTTTTGCTATAACTTACTCTTTATTTGAAATATATAAGAACAATATATATTTGATTTTAAAGAAAATAAAGCCTAACTTTATTCAGTTACCCAAAGATAACTAAATACAACCTGTTGCACTAGTTCACAGATAAACTAGAACTATTCTAACAAAAAAATCTATAAAAAAATGAAGACAAACTATAATTAAAAATGAGATAAAAAAGAAGAGATAAAGAAAAAGAATGAGATATAAAAATAAAAAATCCAAAAAATAAAAAACTAGTAAAAAATAAAAACATTTTATAGAAAAAAGAATAGGAGTTTGAGAAGAGTTTCACCTCTCTATATAACCAAAGTGTACTATTATAACCTATACAAGGCTAAAAAAATTATATAACAAATATAACAATTGTATATCTCTACTGTAAAGCTTTGCCTTAACATATAATATCTTTTTTAACTTATATCTGTATTCAGAAATCTCTTTAACCAGAGGTTTCAATTCAACTTCTCTGAAGTAGTACCATATTTATAAATAACCACATTATATAGTTGTATTCTACCAAATTTATCTAAATTTAAAAAGTAAATAATGCCAATCTTTTGGAGAAGTAAGTAGGGTTGTGAGCATAGATAATAAAATAGGCATGCTCTATAGGCATGCTTCTGGTCTGAGACATGCCTATAAGGCATGTCTCTATATAGTTACATGATGAATAACTGACCAATTAAATTATATACAAAAATCTATAATTAATATTTCAAAATTCCATATAACTTTTGTCTAATAGTAGATAGTTGCTATATAGTAAAGTCTATATTTTACTATATAAATTGATAATTATCAATTAAGTAAACTTATTCGAAATATAAAAATATATTTACTTTAGTTTTTATATTTGTCAAATATATTTTAATTTTTTTGCTAAATGAAAAAATCAAAAATCAAATAATAAAAAATTCTTCAATCTTGATAAAAATTTTGAAGTATATATAATTTAATCTTCTAAATAAGTTTATTTAGGCAGCTATAATTTGATTTATATAGTAAAATTTAGACTTTACTATGTAGTAACTATTGTCAATTGTGGAGTAGCTTATTTTTAGATTAAAAACATTTTTGATTTTTTTTACCAAAAGAAAAAAGTAGTATATTTTCTAAGAAAGTTATTTTGGGAAAATACTATATTGAGTTTTTGAAAGACTTATATTTTAAATTCTTGATTTTTATTTTTTTATTTTTTTTTTTATAAGTAATCCTGCCTTTATTTTTTTTTTAACAGTTTGGCAGTCTTGCCTCTACTTTATTAGGCTTTATAATATTATACTATAAAATATTAAAATTTTCATAGAGTATAAACCCTAACTCTACCTAAATTACAAGTATTAGCTCACCCAGCTCATTGTGACCAGAGTCTAAATTACCCATGTGCGACCTGCTATAGGCAGGATTCTTCTCCAAAGTATTCTCTACTGCACTTGCAAAAAATAAATCTTCACCGAAAGGTTCCCACTAGCTCATCAAGACTACCTATCCTTCCTTCTAAACTTTTTTCACCTAGATCCGTGCAGAATAGTTTATCTCTTACTTTTCCGTAAGGGAAGAAAAAATATGCCACATATATGAAAGAAAACAAAACTATCTAGAAAAAGAAAGAGAAAAACAAAAAAAA